TAAGAGACCCTAAATATTCATATTTTAATCATATTTTGAGGAAAATCATTGCCTAATAATAACATCTAGTTGGTAAGATATAGGGGTGGAGTGTTGACTTTACCTTTAAGTTATGACACAAGCAACCTCCCATACCCACTCCATGTCACTATTCATGCTTTATGTCATTATTCCCATCAGCCCTAGTCAACTATTTGTCCTTTCACCACCCCTCTCCAGCAAGATGTAATACTCAAAGATGGGAAAAATCCATGTCTCTCCTCCCACTTTATTCACTCTTTCTCAAGGAGAACAAACACATCTCTCTCACTTTCTCTCTCTAAAATTCGAGATTTAAAGGCTGGTCTTGAGTTTTTCCTCCACTTTTGGTAAGTATCTTCCTCCTACACTTAAATATTCTACTATCCTTCATCCGAATCAAGGATTGCTTACACAAATATCATCATATTTGTTCATAGAACCTTCAAATCTTCAAGCATCTATCAAGTGTTCTTGACTTGGAAACTCCTTTTCTCCATCATCCATCCTAAGAGATCACTCAAGGTGAGTTCATACCCCTATCTTTTCACGTTTTTCTTAAGTTCTAAGGGGGGGGGGGGGGGAATACAAGTTAAAACACCAAGAACACAACTAAACTCATCCAACAGCTTTCATCATAAAAGTTTAACTCCATTCACGGACTGTTTTGGTCAACTTAAACATTTTAGTTTTCAAAACTGTATTAGGTGCAAATAGTTCAGGTTCATACCTTTAAAATGACTACTTGCACATCCCCATACGATTTTTCTAAAATTTATGGTGATTTTTACAAAACAGCCTATCGTTTCAAGAACAAATCCGGACCAGTCTGTGAATATGAACATTTTTACACAAGTTAAATGTCTTTAAAAATCATAATAAAAATTAGGAACAAACTAGAAACATTTTCCAAACACTCAGAATTTACGGATTCTGATTTGGACCTTTGATGATTTTTCTATAAATCCTTTAAGAACAGGAATAGAAATGTTAGCACTAGAAAAATGTTATCAATTTCACTTACACCTTGTATCTTGTTGAGCAAGGTGTGTATCATTATGTGCATATATGTGTTATATTATATGTCATTTTGTCTTGGTAAATAGACATACATCAGGAAACAAATGGATTTTTACCTCCACAAGTATGGTAATTAATTATAACAAACAAAGTTTATATCCATTGCATACAAACATTTTGATAAACTATAATAGGCATAGTTTATGTTCATTTACATTACAAACAATTTGATAAACTATGACAAAGAATGTTTATGTTATACGAGCAAACTTTCTACGAAAGGTTTTATTTCTACATAAAAGAGTTTTCGGATCACCTCACGTAAATCTGTTAATGAATAACTTTGTGAGACATTCGCTTCACGTTACTTCCAAGGTAACGAAATCAAAAGTCCTGTAATTGTAACAAGAGTCTCTTAGAGGGAGAGCGTGATAGTTGTGTATAGATCTATATTGGGATTGACACCCCATACCTCGCTGTTAGCTGTAGTAGGACCTCGAGGTCTACGGGTGACAAATGTCATAACAGTTCCGACGCCTGAAGAACGTCGTTTCAGGCCAACTAGGTCATAGCATGGTTATAATAACTCACTTAGGGTATTCGAAAAACATAAGATTTACGCGGTGTTCTATCACTAAATCGTATTTATGACAACCTAAACTTGTGCATATTTTCATAAGTGCAGAAAACATGGATACAGTTCTAGTCTTAGGATAGCTAAGACTACATCTCAACTAGAGTTATAGGTTCCGGGTATAATTGCTGAGGGTATAAGTTGGAGTTATATAAGAGTCCAGTCACAAATCGACTTAGCATTGGTGGGTCCGCCCTATTTCCTGTTCATTGTTTGGTTGTGGTCCTAGGGCAGACCCATTATATTCGACAGTTTATTTAACTTTAATTTTATATAACTTATATACACTGGGTGATTATAGAAGGAATCTATGGATCTTCTAGAGTACATTATTTCCTAACATAGAAACTTCCATTTCACATCTCATAAAGAAAATATTGGATTTTCTGGAATCACACTCATTCTCTTTTACAAAGGAAAAACAATTTCTTCCTCAAATAAAAATCTTATGAACTCACCAACTTAATTGTTGACACTTTTCCAAAACTACTTGTATTCTCAGGAAATCAGTGAAACAGGAAATCAACAGCATTTTGAGGATGGGACGTTAAATCGTCAAACAGTTCATTTTGTCATCATAATGTAATTGATTTTGAACATGTAAACATATACTATGGTGTAACTTTTTCAATTATATTTATGATGGTTGTATTTACTTTGAGCACTATTATACTCGTTGTTGTGATACTATACATGAAGCCTTCCACCCCCGGACGTTTCCGCCATCCTTGGTTTGGGGGTGTGACAGTAATTGGGTTATTAATGGACCATCCAAGAATAATCATATGGATTATAATATGTTGTTGGGCTTTAGGGTAAGGGCCATATGATAGTTGGGCCCAATTTGGGAAATTGGGCCATATGTTGGGCTTTGACCCATTACTTGACTTTTGGGTCTTTTGGAGTGTGAGTTGGACCGTGGGCTTGGAACCCAATTATTAATTGGGTATTGTTTGATGTTGACAGTTCGGGAAGCTGTCAACCAACATCTGGAGTTTTTCTGCAGGACTTCAGCAATGCCAGGTGAGTTCTCCTCACTATATCAACAGGGTCTACGGCACCAAGGCCGACCCTTTATGATTGCATCCTGGTTATAGGATGTTGCTATGCTATGTAATCTGTTAGATACATATGATTATCTGTATATATGTTAGTGACCTGGTTAGGTCGGTATCCTAGTTATAGGATGTTGCTATGCTATGTAATCTGTTAGATACGTATGATTATCTGTATATATGTTAGTGACCTGGTTAGGTCGGTATCATGGTTATAGGATGTAGCTATGCTATGTGATCTGTTAGATCCGTATGATTATCTGTACATATGTTAGTGACCTGGTTAGGTCAGTATCCTGGGCATAGGATGATGCTATATTAGTGACCGGTTAGGTCGGTATCCTGGTTATAGGATGTTGCTATGCTATTTGATCTGTTAGATCGGTTGACTGTTATATATGTTAGCGTATGATATGTATGTGCACATGTTTGTTTGATTGGGGGTTTGGGTTGAGGCGGTCATGTTTTGTGCTGAAGGCCAACATACCCAAGGGTGGTCCGGATAGACTACAGACTCAGGAGGGTATGATAATCAGACCGAAGGCCCGACGAGAGGTCCGGATAGGCTGAAGGCCCTACGAGGCGGTCCAGACGTCCGAAGGCTCGGAGAGCGGTCCAGATAGACTGAAGGCCTGCGAGGCGGTCCAGTTAGGCTGAAGGCTCATTATGCATGTTGTTCTGTATTTGCTGATATGATATGAGTATGTTTATATGAGGTTGGTATTTTTGGGGAAACTCACTAAGCTTCGGGTTTACAGTTGTTGATTTTATTTTAGGTATTTCTGATGATCGCAGGAAGGCGAAGGCATGATCGTGCACCTCCTCATATTTTCATGATTGATTCTGGGGATACTTTGATGCTTAAACTATTTTGAAAACAAATTGTAATAACTTAATGGTTTTAAATGTTTTAAAAAGTTTTAATTGTCTTGAATTTTATGGGTGTGACAATTTAGTTGGCAAACAAACTTTTCTTTTGGTTTCACAATACCATTGTATATGTGGACGTGACCGGTGACATGGAGTCTATGTAGATTGGAAACGAGTTATCCCGATAAAAAACATATTCAATGGTATAAAAAAAATGTTTGATGGTCAATTTGATATAATTAAAAATGTAGTGATTTATTTAACACATAATAGATTAGGATAATGATTACTAATAGGAAATATGCTAAATAATATATTAGGATAACGATTAGACCCGAAGGTATGTATGAGAACAATCTTTCACTTTTTGTCTGTTACGTCAGCCTTTCCCTCACTCTTTTTTTCCTCGCCAAAACGCAGGAAATTATCACCTTTCACTACATTTTTTTATTCTTTTATTCTTTTAAAAAATATTTTTCGTACAAATATTATACTAATTTGTAGGAAATTAAAAACCATAAATTTTGATATATTTTTTAATAGGTATATAATTTTTTTTTTAAAAAAAAATTTGACCAATCAAACAGGAGAGGGAATGTGGGGTCTCTTTCCCCATTCCCGCAGGGCCGATGTTGTGTTTTTATGCGCGGGAACACTTTCCGTTCTTCCTTCATGCTACGCACCATGCAATCTTACTAAGGATAATTTAATAAATTTATTATAATATATGAGTTTTTCTAACTTTATTTGAAATAATTTTTAAATTATGGTTTTATATAAAGTCTTAATTTGTATTTTTAAACTGTTTTTTGACTCAAATTTAAAAGATAAAACTAAATGCTCAGAAAAACTTTTAAAAACTTATGCCGACATGCCCTTTATATCTAGAAAGAGATTTCTCATTAATATATTTTAGCAACTCCTTGTTATATCCAGGCAGATGTATAACCTCCGATACCTAGTGTACATGTCATATAACAATATTGTTCCTAATTTAGGAAATTTGATTTTGACAAAAATAATTTCTTCTTATTTTTCAAATGATGACATGGTCTTGGTAGTGATTAGTGAAACAACTTTTAAGGCATTTTTTTCGTCAATTCTAACGCCGAAATCCGATAACGCATAAACGGAAACAAGAAAAATTGCAAAATACTTAAAATATCATTTACGAAACAATGGTACAATTTATTTACTTGGATTTTTTGTTTAATAATTTCGTAATATATGTAGACGACAAAATTTTCATTTCTAGGATAATATATCAAAAATAATATTGTCCATCCATAAATAAATTCATTTTATCCAAAACTACCCTTAACTTGTGGCTCTCCATGCCACCCTCACCATTATTTGTTTCCACAAATTACACACATTCTTACCCTTAGACCTCACCCCACACCATGAATGACAAAGTAGACAAGCTAGTGATCTTCCTGGCAAAAAGAGATGGGATTGACAAGCTTGTCAAAACCTTCCAATATGTATCTAAACTCCTTGTTTGGCACCTCGAAACCACCAATCCAAACGCAGCCCATCGAGCCAAACAGTGTGAGGTGGCATCAGGGTTGAGCCGGAAAGCCTTCAGAACTGGCCGGTTTCTCACGGGCTTCAACGCCCTTAGGAGAAACCCTGGCCCAACCCCGACTTACAGGGTTCTATCGGTCTTTGCAAACGCAGGGGAAATGGTCTATTTTTTCTTTGACCATTTCCTTTGGTTATCAAGGACCGGAGTTCTGGATGCAAATCTGGCTCGAAGAATGAGTTTTATATCAGCGTTTGGAGAATCGCTTGGGTACGTGTTTTTTTGTGTTATTGAATTTAGTATGATCAAAGAAGGGATTGAAGAAGAAAGAAGGATTCGAAGGAGTTTATTAGCAGAATCAAAGGAAAAAGGTGATGAAATTAAGAAGATTAAGGCTGATAGAGTGATGAGATTAATGGCTGTGGCTGCTAATTTGGCTGATTTGATCATTGGCTTAGCTGATATCGAGCCCAATCCATTTTGTAATCATGCTGTAACACTTGGGATTAGTGGGCTGGTGTCTGCATGGGCTGGATGGTATAGAAATTGGCCAACTTGAAGTAGGGGCAAAATTGAGTTATTTTGATAATCATGATTCATGCATCATAATTTATTATAAAATCTGCATTATTAGTTTGCTTGTTGTATATATGGCGAAAAAAATAGATAAAACTACGTTACTGAATTGAACAAAATAGTTTTCTTATGATGCTTATATTTTAGTTATATTTCTTATGATGCTTATATTTTAGTTATATTAGCTTTGATGGAACGGGTACGGTTTCAACCATTGAATGTCACATAACGACACACACTCTCCTTTGTGTGTGGCCTAGGCCGTGGATGGCTTCCCCGTCTCTCTCTCTCTCTCATGGACGTTTTACCTTAAATCATTTAATTTTACCACACTTAAAAATATCTTTTTTTTCTTTATAATACTACTTCTATCTTTCTAGAATTCAAAATCATGTCTTCTTCAAACATTCAAAACAACCAAAAAACACTTGCAAGAAACACATCAGCTCATTCATTTGATCGGCCAATTTACTCGTCATCTGTCTATCATTATTTAGTTTAAATTGAAATGTTTAAAAACAATTAAAAATAATAATTAACTCATACAATGGTTACCATTTTTAATGCGTGGCAAGAAAAAAAAATGGTAAAATTGAGGTAGCGTTGAGGTGAAGTTGATGTGACAAACAAAAAATATGATAAAAGTAATATCACTCCCTCCGGTCTTAGTATATTATTTTCTTTAATGGAATTAAGTTATTAAAGGATAATATTAACATACTTCCATCCAATTATGATTATCATAACTAGTCTTTTTTTTATTTCGTATGATGAATATGGAACGACTTCATAATTAAAAAACTCATATCACTCTAAAAAAGATTTGATTGAGTATATATGACAAAATTTTGGCAGTTATCTAACTTAATAAATTAAAAGCTTTTTGCCACACGTTCTTTTTCTTTTTCATTTTGAAACATGATTTTTTATGGTATTTTTCATTTACTTATTTTCCACTTGTCATTAATCTGTATTTTTCAATTATTTATAAATGTTACCTAATTAATATTTGTATATAATAAGAAAAAATTCCTTAGTTTAAGTTGATATAGACAAACAATATACCGTTTTAATGAACGCATTTCAATTTGACATCAAATTCATTGCATTCAAATAATTGCCCGTGTAGAATATATGGAATGTTGATTGTTATATCAATTTAATTTTAGTATGTCATCAAACATTGAATTTCGTTTTTCTTTTAAGAGATTATAACCTTTAAATATGGCTCACAACCCCTCAATTAGGCTTTGAACTCAACGCACCTACACCCTGCGTAACCAAAGTTATGCCCATCGTACGGTAATAAGTCCCCACATGCGCTTATCGATCTACGCCCCACGTAGATGCTCCATACTCAAAATTTAATTACAATTATTATTAATTTAAGATTGTACCTGGAACTACGTGCTAATATATATACTCCCTCCGTCCCAAAATAATAGTCCACAGACAAAAAACACACAGTTTAAGAAAACATTAATTACCATTAACTTTATTAAATAAAATAACAGTCTTATCATTCTCTTGCATTTAATTCTATGATAGTTGCATTTAAGTTTATGGTAATTTAACTAATAATGAGGGGTATTATGGTAAATGACATATTTATTTTTAGAAGTAGACAATTATTTTGGGACAAACCAAAAAGAAAACGTGGACTATTAATATGGGACGAAGGGAGTATAAAGTATTTTTATATTTTTAAAAAATAAGTTAGTTGTTTTGGATTTTTTTATATATAATTTTAATAAGTTTTATTGGAATAAAAAGAATCATAAGCTATATTTATTTAATAAAAAAATTATTTAGTTTGGATTGCTAATGAGCGTGAAAGTTTAAGTTTAGTTGGGTTCATTGGTGAAAAAAAGATAAATTAGTTGTTTAATAAATAGTTTGGTAGAATTTGATCGTGAATAAGCATAACGTAATGATATCTAAAATAAATATTCATAAAAACCATAAACTAAAAAAAATGAACAAAATTGAAAAAAAATCATTATTTAAAATATATAACAATTAAAAAAATAATAAAAAATATTTGTAGTCTTTAAAATTTAGCCTTCCTTTGTTTTAGACATTTGTCACTATACTTCTTCATTATTACACTTTTGGTTCCTTATTACAAAAGTTTGTGGTTTAGCCATAATATTTTCCATATTTTGGCAAATTTAGTCCCTTAATTCTCAAAAGCTTAAGGAATAGTAAAGTTCATTTGTCTTGGATATTTGCAACTAAAATTTTCGATTCTTACACTTTTGATCCCTTATTACAAAACTTTATGGTTTAAAATTTAGCCACAATATTTTCCACAGTTTGAAAAGTTTAGTCCATTTTGCTTTGTATTGTAAAAAAAACCATAGTGTTTTATATGTTACTAGTTATATATAATAAAAAGCAAGTGGTATATGGATAGTATACTTTTATGTCTTAGACTTTGACCATAATAGTTTTATATATTAATAGGTTTGGTACCTGTATAAAAAATAAATTATAAAAATTATCTCCATAATTTATAGAAAATGATCATGTGCACTTTTTTTATGTTTGAGTATTAAAATTTGACATCAATACTTTCGTATGTTGACATGTTTGGTCGCTATAATGAAAATAAATTACAAAAGTTCTCCAAGTAATTTACAGAAAATGTAAATATGTATTTTTTTTTATAAAAATTGTCCATGTGTTTAAATAATATAACTCTTTGGTCAATGTGTTTTAAAAAAAATTGTCCGTACGTAAAATAAAATTTTAAATTATGACCCCGCAAAACGGAAATAAGTAGACTCGCAACATGCATCCCTCACGAAGCGATGAAGGAAGAATTTCTAGTTAATAATAAAAAAAAAGTAAGAGCATATTTTTAATTTATCTAAAATTCGAAGTTGATTAAATAGATATTTCATTTTACCATATAAACATTTTTTTACAAAAATATATGGAATTTTAAAATTACTTTTTGCTTTTATTGTAGCAACGTTCCATTTCATTTTAGAAAATAAAAAAACGTTGAAAAAAATTGAAAAGAAAAATGTAAAAAGTTACATGAAAATTTGTGAATAAAAAGAAAAAAAAATATAAAGAAACAAAATATGAAATTTGTGAATAAAAAGAAAAAAGTATAAAGAAACAAAATATAAAAAAGTAAGTGTATTTTTTTTTTAATTTAATATCCCTTACAAAAATATATGGAATTTTAAAATTAATTTTGTTTAGCAACGTGCCATTTTTAGTATTATTACGTACAGTAAACTGGATTGTTACCACCCACAGAGGATTGGAGCTTCCTTGGACTTTTCTTTCACAAATCCTATTCCACCGTCTCTCTCGGAGTCCATCCGTTAAACCCTTCTCAGTTACGCCTACCGAAGATCGACGACATTTCTCAACTCAGGTTCTGATTTTCAGTAATTATCGAACCCAGTCAGGTGACTACTTGCCCTCCTCTCATCCGTGTATTATATGCTTATAATCCGAATTTGCTTTCACTAACTTGGAGTTTGCCGGCGCATTGCACCAGATGGCGGAATCCGAAATTCAATCGCGATATGTGAAGTTAAACAAAGATCAAGCGCCAGTCGATATCAATCCCGGAGAACTCAATCAGCCAATTGAAGTTCCTCAGGTTTCATTGCAATTTGTCTTTTGTACGCATCTCTGGTTGATGGATCCATTTAATAGTTCTTTAGGTTTAGTCAATTGACATCATGATTTGTGAATTTCAACGATCTATTAACGATATTGAAGACACTTAGTAAAATGATCACGAGTCACGACATTGGTTGATGTAGAATTCACTTACTTGCTTATAAAAACCCTAATTATCACACAGCGCGGACCAGAATTCAAGTTGCATTTGGACAATGCACTTTAATCCTTGGATATACAAATCTACCAGTTGATTGTGAGCCTATATACCTTTTGTTTGATCTTCTATTGTAATAGATCGATCATCGATAGTGCGATTGTTCCAAAGGAAAAAAAACACACAATGTAATAATTGAATTTTCAAAGAGCAGGTAGATTATTGTTTAATATTATTTTTGCATATAACTTGTTTCATCCTTTGACTTGATTTACAGATGAATGTTCGCAAATGCAATGAATGTGGGCAGGTTTTACCAGAGAGCTTCGAGCCTCCTGCTGTTGAACCTTGGTCAACTGGGATATTTGGTTGTGCTGAAGATACTGAAAGCTGTAAGTTTTACACTTTGAACCATACAACCATTATTCATATTTCTCTTCCATGGAATTTGGCCGGAATTGGAATTCAGTTCCATTCCAATCCCAGAAATGGAATTCACAAAATCACTAATAGTAATAGATAGATCTTAACAATTCCTAAAACATACTCAATTCTAGAATCTGACAATAATGTTTGTTTTGTGCATGCATGCAGGCTGGACAGGACTTTTTTGCCCATGTGTTCTGTTTGGACGCAACTATGAGAAGCTAAGAGAAGACATGCCTTGGACCACACCATGTGTTTGTCATGCAGTTTTTGTTGAGGGTGGCATGGCACTTGCTGCAGCAACAGCCGCATTTCATGGGATCGAACCCCAAACATCGGTTCTCATTTGTGAGGGGTTGCTTTTCACTTGGTGGGTCTGTGGTATATACACTGGAATTGTCAGACAAACATTACAAAAGAAATACCATCTCAAGGTGCTCACACTTCCTAACGTACTGGGCCACTGTGTATCTGCAGTGTGAGCCAGCTCAGGGGTTGCTGGAAAAATAACTATTTTTTTTGTTTTGTTTTGTTTTTGATATGCAGAACTCACCGTGTGATCCGTGTTTGGTGCACTGTTGCATGCATTGGTGCGCGTTATGTCAAGAACACAGGGAGATGAAGGGGCGGCTGTCTGATAATGCTGTCATGCCAATGACCATTGTGAATGCGCCACCTGTTCAAGTGATGGACACTGATGGAGAGAAGAAAGAGTCTGCTAATGGGCATGATCATCGTGCTCATTTGGAGATGCAAGCTTTGTGATGGATTTTTGGTAATTGGGTTGGGTGGAGTAGCAATGGTTAGGATGTGGTGATAAAATGATTGTTGATGGAAAAGCTTAGAGTTAAAGTAGTTAAGTAGTCATATACTCATATATATAGTACTTGAATCTACCTGGTAAGCTTGATGTTAAATGTTAATGGTAATTAAATGCCTTAGTGAATCATATATTATATATATAGTATAGTATTACTTGTTATTTTTTAAGAGTGCAGAAAAAGAAAAAGAAAAAGAAAAAAAGCAACATACATCTACTATCTTATCAATCTATGCAACATATATTTTTAATCATCTAATGGACCTTAAAATGGTAGAAGCTAACTAAAAATGTAACTTGCCTCTTTTACGATTTTAATTAGATGTCACGAAAAGATACAGTTGTGATGTTTAAAATGGTACTTTTTTTTTTTTTTTTACATAAAATGGTAAAAATAGTGGTTTATAATATAAAAAGATTAAAATGATGAAAAAGCTATGGTGTATGGATTAACAGCTAACCGTTTTTAAGCACTAAATGCAACAAATAGCTATTTACTTATATTTATTTGTGTTTTATGGAACATATTTTCACCTTTTCTATTACTTAGTTATACTTTTCTTTTTCTTCTATTATGGCAGTGTAATTTTGACATTGAAAATTTACACAATTATACCACTGAAAATTACTTTATGACTGACTGAGTAGAATTTTTTTTCAAAAGTAAAATTTTGTAGGAGCATTCACAATGAATATTTAATGGAAGAGTTGATTAAGAAGTATAGTGGGATTTCAAATTGAAATATAATGAATTTGATGTTAATTGACCATTGAACTATTAAATGAAAAAGTGCACACATTATTGATTATTTCACCTAAATAAATTCCATTGAATTTTTTAGATTTCAATGGATCGTAAAACTTGCATAATAAAATTGTATGAAAGAATGAAATGTTGATGTGGTGGTCCTTTAAACCTTATAGTGTGGAAAAGTAGGATGCAATGATAAATATATATAAACGGAAGTATGTTATTTTTCATTTTTTAATGCAAACATCATGATTTTTATAAATTACAAAATAAATGAAAATGACTTTGGAAAGAAAATGATTACATTTAAAAGCAAAATGAATATTATGTTTTATTGGTATAAAAAGGTCGGTCTTAACAAAAAATGCAATGCATGCATTTTAATAATCCTGTAAACTATGTGTATCAGATTTTGGTTATTCGATCATATGATATAATATAGCAATATCTTTTACGGACGTAAAAGATATTATTTTCTAACATTATTTTCTCAAACAAACCACATTATCAATTCATAGAAGAGGATAAAAGCCAAGCAAAAACAAGGGGGTAAATGAGTAATTTCATCAGTAACGCCACAACCATTCAAACCGCAAAGATCCATTGTAACCAATTATAGAAGTCCACGTGTAACTGGCGGTTAAATTTTGAAAACACGCCATTGAAACCTGTAAAAACTCCCCAACAGCGTCTTCACAACCATTTGCAACATTCATTTAAAACTGGCTGTTCTCTTTTCAACATCAATGGCGTCTCTGAAAACCAGATTGCAACACTCCTACACTCCCGCAGCACTGAGATCTTATCTCGCAGAGTTCCTGTCCACCTTTTTCTTCGTCTTCGCCGCTGTTGGCTCCGCTATGGCCTCAAGTATCTCTCTTTAAAACGGTTTTTCTTCTCAACTTCCGAGTTGTAATGGAATTTGCTTCATTTTGTAGGGAAGATGGCGCCGGAAGCCGCAATGATTTGTCCTTCTAGTCTGATAGCGTCAGCGATTGCAACTGCCTTTTCACTGTCAGTCGCGACTTATGTAGCCGTTAATATCTCCGGTGGCCACGTGAATCCGGCGGTGACGTTTGGAATGGCGGTGGGAGGACACATCACTATCCCGATGGCAATCTTCTACTGGATTTCTCAAATGCTTGGCTCTGTCATAGCCTGTGCTCTCTTAAAAGTCTTTACCGTTTCACCGGTACACTCAAAATTTGAATCTGCGCTCTTCATATCTTTAAATATTCAATTCCAGATCTAAACGTCTCTGAATTCATCGAAAACATTGTGTAAACCTGTATTTTCGTGTAGAATGTTCCGGTTCACGGGTTTATTCCATCAGAAATGACGGGATTTGGGGCATCGGTTCTGGAAGGTGTAATGACATTTGCGTTGGTGTACACCGTTTATGCTGCCGGAGACCCAAGGCGAGGTGCATTTGGGACGATCGGACCATTGGTAATTGGTTTGATAGCCGGAGCAAATGTATTGGCTTCCGGGCCATTTACAGGCGGGTCAATGAATCCGGCGCACTCATTCGGGGCTGCTTTTGTTGGTGGAACTTTCAAGAATCAAGCAGCTTATTGGATCGGACCTTTGCTTGGAGCAGCCATGGCGAGTGTTGTATATGACAATCTGGTGTTCCCTTCTGAGTCACCGGAGGATTCAGTCAGGGGAGTTACGGATAGGATTGTTGTTTAACTTGTTAATTACCATCTTAGCCCTCTTAATTACTTCTTACAACCAAACTGTGTGTGTATGTTATCTTAATGTTAATTTGTGTAGCAGTCAACTCCTTCATAATCATATGCTTGTTTTCGTTAATGCATGGCATGACATTATTGTGAATGTTTGTTTTGTGGTAAAAATATTTGAATATTTATTACAATTTGATATATCATTTAATAAAAGTATTTGTTTATTTTCATCAAATAAGTAAAACCTGTTCAACAAATACAATATATTGCAACAAAATAATGCTGCACTTCTTTTTGGAATAATCATCTTATTTCCCTTCCAATGTGATCGAATTGGTAATTCTACTCTGTGCTTTTATACAGTATATATCAACTTGAGAGTATAAGATATTTGTTACATCAAAAACTGTTTTTTTTTTTCCCTTCTTTTAAAACGAGGGATATACTTGAGTCTTAAAGGACCATTAATGTCCATCCACAGATAAAGAACACGTATCAGCCTACTGATCCATTGTTAAACCCAAAAAGAGTGATAAGAAGGCCCATTAACCTATCAAGATTTAGAGGTGCACAATTACATTTTTAAGAGCAATATGGATTGGTTTTTAACCGGTTCTGTTTCTTAAGGTATATATAAAGCTGCCTTTCTTTCAAACTGATTGTTTTTTTTTTTTTTTTTTTTTTTACCATATTGGTTAATAACTGGTTTCAATTATCCAACACTAATTTGGGTTCCAACATTTGGGATAACTTCTATGAAATTGTAACACCCGATTCAAAGTATTTTTCATTTTGACCCTTTGTGTGTAAGTAGTTTGCAAATTTGGTCACTAGGGACATTATTGTAATGTTTGGGAAGGGGGAGTGTACATGGGCGTACGTAATCAGGGGTCAACCCCTAATTTTAGGGTTTGGATCCTATTTAAGCAACCTTGTGCCCAAGGCTTTCTCCTAAACCAGCCTCCTTAACCTCTTTTGAGTCCCATTTCGAAACCCTAACCCATTTCAAGAGAGAGAGAGAGAGTTGACATTTGTGTGTGTTTGGTGTATCTCCAAGAAGAAGAAGCTTGGTGGAGAAGCATTGATTAAGGAGGAGCTTATAGATCCAGAGTTCATTCATCATTTCCAGCTTCATAAAGGTATAAGGCTTTGGTCACTTTTTAGTCCCATGAATGAGATCTAGTGGGAATTTACCACTCCAGAAGTTATGAGTTGCTCATCTTGATGTTTCTGAGATCCCTAGTACATAAAGTTAGCATCTTGATGGTTGAGAATCAACAATGCATGGGTATATGTCCATTTGGTGGAAGTAGGATGCTAAATCTAAGGTTTGGGTCCATTTGAGTCAAGCAAAGGCATCAAGTTAGTGACTTTATGGATTAAGAAGTTCCCCAAAGTTTGGATCGGAAATATGGACACTTAGTCTTAAGCATTAAGTGTTTAATGAACAAATGGCTTAATGGGGGCGTACGCCGGGCATACGCAAGCGTACGCGTCTGGATCCCCGATCTGGCGTAGTGACCTAGTACGTCAGGCGTACTAGTGGTACGCTTAGCGTACTCTAGCTGGACTCGAGCATTTGATGTTTGGGCCGCCATTGGACTTTAGGGTTTTGAGCCCTTGTTAATCCACCAGTTTTCCTGTGTTGGGCCATTGTTAGGCCTTGAGCTTTCATGGATTTGGGCCCATATTGGGCCTTAAATGTCTTCTAGGATTTGGTCAATTATTAGGCTTTTGTCACGGATTTTAGGCCAATTAAGGGGAGGGTAAAATGGTCTTTACCCTTGGAGTCGAGATTAGTTGATTAAAGTCCCGATTATGGTTTATGACCCGAATATTAATTGGGATTTTATATGATTGGTTTGTGCGGGGATTCTCCGGTTCAACAGCCCGAGCATCTATTTGATTGTCGGCAGACTAAGGTGAGTTTGCTCACTATACTGTAGGACACTAGGGAGGGACCTATTGTTGAGAATAGTGAATTACTATTCTCATTAATAGCATTTAACCAACCAGGCAACCATATGCTTCGACCCGCATTGAATGTCAGGCCATTCGTTGAAGATAAAAGTATATCGAACCCATATGAAGTTTTACCATGAGCAGATTGTATCCATTGAGCAAACATAGGTTCGATTAAGATTTGCTTCTCCGGAGTACCAAAGGCAAGCATGACATCATTATGAATATAAAGTCCCAAGGTATGGAAACACAAAAAGAGGCTGGCCCAACTTAAATGAGATATGATAGCTTCTTTATGTTCTAACGTTCGTGCCAATACATTATCCTCATTATGTTCCGGATTGTAATCCCTAATAAAAAATATAGCTCATGTGTTTGTAGTCTTTGTGACTCATGTTGTATGCATGTGTGCCTGTTTGTTACATGTATGTGGGGGTGAAATAGACCCGATATAGCCTTATGTTGACATATGAGTTGAAATAGACTCGGGGGTGAACTAGACCCTGTCAACCTTGGGCTGACATATTGATGGGTTTTAGATAAACAAATAAACTAGAAAACAATTCCTAAGTTCACATGCAACCTACTTTGGATCTATGTTTTAACTATTGAACATACAACTTTGAATTGCAAAACAGGAACCCTAGAGGAGGAGGCTATTTTCGAAAATAGTAAACTAGGGTTTAGGAGTTACATACCTTTCAATTGTTATAGCAAACAATTGATAATTCCCTTGATCTTGATCTTGATCTTCTTGGAAGCTAAGCACCACAAGTGTAATGCCTTTAATGGAATCACACCCAAGAACTAGCAAGAAGGAAAGTAGAAGAAGAGAGAGGGGAGGGAGTATGCAATTTCGGCCAGGGTTTCTTCCAAAGAACAGAGTGGCTTAAAATGTGAGCCAGGAGGCTCCTTAAATAGCTTAGGGATCTAGGGTTTAGGGAAAACCCTAATTATCCTTTGCTTTGGGCCTAAGCAAAACCCAAGGGCCTTATCTGGACCCCTTGGACGAAATCTCTAGGGTTTCCCCTATGGATTTCGTCCACCTCCTTCCAAGGGGGTTCTGGATCCTTCCACTCAACTATTAGTTAATTGCAAACTAGTCCCTGCACTTTATAATTAATTCTTTTAACCCCAAAATTAATTCTGATTAATTTCTGGCTAACTATTAATTAAACATAATGATTTCTAATTAATATATTAATCTTTTAACATATTAATAAATCATTTATATATATATATATATATATATATAATTTATTAATCTTATAAATTAATATCTCTCCTTTCATAATTTCCTTGTCCAGTTGCTAGGTTGAGGGCAACCCAAAAGGACTGTGCTGCTATCAATTCAAGTACATACCAATTATAGTTATGGGCTTAGACACCTAATCCAACAGTCTCCCACTTGGATAAGTCTGTAACTATAATTGCTAGTATGCCTTCTAAATTTGACCAGCAAATTGTAGCTTCCAAAAGCTGCTGCCGAACTCTGACCCAGTCAGTTACGTGTCCTAAGATAAGTGATCATATAATCCTTCGTTCTGCTAGATATCCCTAGACATAAGACATGGAATGTAATCAATCTCTTTGTCCAGAATCTATGTTTCCCGATTTCTGATTTGTGATGATGTAGGACTTCTAATTGAACACATCAATTTAGTCCTGGCTGGGCCCAGCACATAAGTCAACACCAAATCATCGAGGGGCCCACAGATATCGCTTTTCCGGTTAGGGCAAAAGGAACGAATAAACGTTGACTCATATGCTTGTATCTTTTACTCATCAAATTATACATGACAATACGTTTTATAACACCAAGTTACTGATGCGTTTTCGTATCACCAATGTATAACCGACTTGTAAATTACAACTCATATATCTTCGTTTCAAGATTATAAGATATTATCGTCTCAGTATTACTCGTGATGAATTCCATGAAGTGATACTCTGAGCGAGGGTTTATCCAATACTCAAATCTCAATTTCTGAGTACTCATGAACGTTGCAGCAATTCTATTGCCATGTCTATCCTTAGACAATCTACAATCCAGTTCATGACAGTCTTAATTCACTACTTACTTCCAAAAGTACGAGCGACTGTGGAGTTTGAATAATCTTATTATTCGGGAAGTAAAACATGCAAAATATGAAACACAATAATAAACAATTGACAAAGGCAGTAACCAAACTTATAAATAATACTTTATTATTTAATCACCAAAAGTCAATTACATTTACTTTGTTACAAGTTTCAGAACAAAACTAATCTAACTACTAAAACTAATATCATCTTTCAGTCCTATGCTCCGAGCATGCTGAATATGCTTAGCCCTACTCAGACCGTTTGTGAGGGATCTGCTGGGTTATCTTCAGATGACACCCTCTTTACTATAAGATGGCCTTCTTCTACTCTATGTCTGATGAAATGGTACTTTCTGTCGATATGTCTGGTTTTACCATGATCTCTCGGTTCCTTTGTCAAGGCAACCGCTCCTTCATTATCGCAGAACAGTTCCATAGGCTCCTGGATGGTTGGAACAACTCCGAGATCTCCGATGAAGTTCCTCAACCAAGCTGCTTCTTTCGACGCTTCACTCGCTGCTATGTACTCTGATTCACAAGTAGAATCAGCCACCGTATCTTGCTTGGAACTTTTCCAAGTAACTGCTCCTCCATTCAGTAAAAATACCCAGCCTGACTGAGAACGGAAGTTATCTCTATCCGTCTGAAAGCTGGCATCACTGTAACCATCTACTCTCAAAGTATCATTGCCACCAAGTACAAGGACCCAGTCCTTTGTCCTTCGCAAATACTTGAGTATATTCTTTACTGCTATCCAATGAGCTCTACCCGGGTTTCCCTGATAGCGACTGACCATGCTCAAAGCAAATGCCACATCAGGGCGAGTACATGTCATAGCGTACATGATCGATCCGACAGCGGAAGCATAAGGTACACGACTCATGTCATCTATTTCAACATCTGTACTCGGGCATTGAGTCTTACTCAATTTGGTATTGCTCTGGATAGGTAGCTCTCCCTTCTTGGAATTTTCCATACTAAACCTCTTTAGTACCTTATCCAAGTATGTGCTCTGACTAAGTCCAATTAGTCTCTTCTTT